CTCGATTGTCATTGGCATCCTTGTCCCACCCGAAGGTGAAGTACTCCTCGGCCTTCTCGGGCAAAATGAGAAGCGGCTCGTACTCCTCGGCGCCCTCGCTGCTCGGCAGCACCGGGCGGAACTGCTTGTCGAGTGGGGGAATCCTCTCGAAAAGCGCTTGGAGGTCCTGGGGGATCTCGCCGATGGCCTTCTCGAAATTCTTGGCTGTCTCCTCGTCCATGGCTTTCGCCTCGTCCAGGGGCTCCTTGCGGAAGCTTGGACAGTACTTCCACAACTCGTCGCAGCTTGTGTCTTGGGGGCCGAAGGGGTTGCAATGCGCCTCGCTGCCCTCGATGAGGGTCTTGAAGAAGACGACCGTGAGCATCTCGGCCCTTCTCGCGTCCTTGGCGTGGAAGAGACCCTTGTAGGTCGTCCTCTCGAGGCCGCCTTTCTTGGGAACCGCCTCGAGCATCTGCAGCTTGCTGTTCTTGCCCCAAACGGCGCACTCGCCACGCTGGCACGCGCTCGTCATTCTCGCCGCGTCCGTGGCCTCGCCGCTCGAGTGGCACTGGCGCATTTCTGCGCAGCCAGCTTTGTCCGCCAACCACTCGAAGGTCTCGTTGTTCTTCTTGCTCTCCTTCAAGAGCTCGGCCAAGAGCTCGTTGGTCTTCTTGGTCTCCTCGATCAACATCTTGAAGCTCGCGGCGGCGGGAACCTCGGCCTCGGCGGAGGAAGCGGCGGCGCCCTTGATCAGAGTCATGGGCTCGAAGGCTCGCACGGGCAGTCTGAGGCTCGAGGCTCGAAGGCTTGGAGTCTGCAGCTCGAAAGGCTCGAAAAGCTCGAGCCACAACGGTTGCGGTGCCATCGTCGTCGTCGTCGTCGTCGCCGTTTGCGCGCGGTCGTGCCGCCATGTTAATTGGTCTGCGCCACCTCGGCATCGCTCCCAAAATTCTTGGTTTCGCTTGAGACATCCTCACAGAATTGCTGTTTTCGCTTGAGACATCCCTAAGAAACGTATCGTTTCGCTTGAGACATCCTTCAGTATAAGCTTGTTTCGCTTGAGACATCCTCGATTATATGCTTGTTTCGCTTGAGACATCCTCGACAAGCTTCTCGAATCGCTTGAGACATCCTCGCAGCATTGCTGGTTGCGCTTGAGACGTCCTTGAAACATTGCTCGTTTCGTTTGAGCCTGCCTCCCAAAATTCTTGGTTTCGCTTGAGACATCCTCACATAATTGCTGTTTTCGCTTGAGACATCCTTAAGAAACGCATCGTTTCGCTTGAGACATCCTTCAGTATATGCTTGTTTCGCTTGAGACATCCTCGAGTATATGCTTGTTTCGCTTGAGACATCCTCGACAAGCTTCTCGAAACGCTCGAGACATCCTCGAGTATATGCTTGTTTCGCTTGAGACATCCTCGACAAGCTTCTCGAATCGCTTGAGACATCCTCACAGAATTACTGGTCTCGCTTGAGACATCCTTGAAACATTGCTCGTTTCGTTTGAGCCTGCCTCCCAAAATGTTTGGTTTCGCTTGAGACATCCTGAAAAAAGTGTGTTCGCTTCGCTTGATGTTGCTATTTCAACATAACTGGATCTTGCTATCTCAACATAACGTTCCGAGGTGATAATGAAGTTCGGCCTCGACGCTCGCCGCCCAATTTGAATTTTATATAGGGAGACGGTAATAAACTCGATTGACTTAAGGGGGGGTCACTTTATTCTCATCGGCATGCGGTCATGCGATCTAAGTGCGCGTTGTCACGATCGGGCGGGCCGCCGCGCCATGCCACGCCCGCTCTGGGTTTACCCTTCGTTATGGCTCGGCGGGGCATCGGCATGGTTGAGCTCACTTCGAGTCCAGCCTGCAGCTGCCTGGCATTCCCAAGCAATCGCAAGGCCTGCCACCCGGAAAAGTACAGCCTTGACCCTCCTACTGGAGGATCTTCCCTTAGCCTGGACCGAGACAGCACCCTGGAAATCACAGATGCTCAGGAAACGGGGCCGGTGAAGCCGATGTAAGCCCGCAGACAATCCGAGGTCATTGAAATTCGCCCGCAATTGTAAGATACTGATCTGTTGAAACAATTTGTACATTTGTACCTTTGCAACAATGAAGAACGTTCATGGGCTGATGTGGCCAAGCGTGTGCACGGTAAACTGGGTCCACGCTGAGCCTGACATCTGTCCCCCTGACACCAGTTCCGTATCATGCGCAGCCTGGCTTCGCGGGCGTAGCTGGCGTGAACACGGAGTTCTCCCTCATCGGGTCTACCGAGAAAGCCATGCAAGGAAGCCATGAGTGGGACGACGCGGCCGTGCATTTCGGCGCGGTCGTGGAGGCTCAGGCTGCCAGTGCTACAGCGACCGCGCTCGCCGATGAGGTGATCTGCGTGACGCTGAAGGAAATCTACGCTGGAGGCGATCTTCGGGACATTCGAGACGCTGAGCCATAGCAATGTGACACTTGAGGAAGTCTGCGTGGCGCTTTCGACAAGCTTCGCGACGCTGGAGATGATCTGCCTAATGCAGACGAGGGCGTTCCACTACTCGCAAAGTAGCTACTCGCAAATGGCCTGGATCCGCCGCGGGGGATCTACGATAAACTACATAGAAGCAGACATGTGCTTCACGGACGTTTGCGAGTAGGCACTTTGCGAGTAGTGGCATGCGCTCGGTGATAATGACGCTGGAGCCGCCCTCGGTGGCGCTGGGGGGTATCTTCAGGACGCTGGATACGTTCCCAGGGGCGCTGGAGGCGCTCGTCGGGACGCTGGAGGCGACGCTGAAGGTCTGCGAGTCGCTGGAGGAGATCTCTGAAGAGGCGATCGTCGGGGCGACAGAAGCGCGTTTGCTGGAGGCGCTGCAGTGGACCTGCGCGGCGCCGGAGCAGCTCGCCGTGGTGCCGGAGACGATCTTGGGGACCCTGGCGACGGCCCCTGGAACGCCAGAGGCACTCTTTTCCAGGACATGGGGGCGACCTCCGCGACGCTGGAGGCGATCCCCGAGAACATTTGAATATATAGAGGCGACGCTGGCGCGATGCTGCGAGCCGCTGGAGGCCTTCTGCGAGGAGCCGATCCTCGGGATGGTGGAGGCGAGGGCGCCAGAGGCCATCTCAGTGACACCAGAGGCACTCTTCGGAGCCGTGGAGTGGATCGCCGTGGTGCTGATCTTGCAGGGCGCGGAAGGCGAAGAAATCCAGGATCTTCTTCCCGTGGCCCCGTCTCTTCCGCCCTTGCAGCAAAGCTCCTCGAAGGTCGGCACGGTGACTTGGGCGGATCTTCGGGATGAGACTGGTGACGGAGACGATGGTTCTCCAGAGGATCGAGGAGAACTTCTCGCGAGCATCGGCTTCTCGGCGCCGTCCGCAGAGCAGGCCCCGCTGCCGCCGGAGACCCTCGACGTTGCCTCGGAGTCGCAGGCGGTGACTGCAAGGGATGAGGAACTCCGTGGGGAGCAGGTTGGCGGCGCGCACAGGGGGGTGGAGGGAGGGGGGAGGGCTCCTTCGAAGGAGGCTGCTGCTTAGAAGGTGCCGGCCTTACATCTACAGATAAGGCCCGCGCCTTCTAAGAAGCAGGGGTGCTTCTAAGAAGCCCTTCCCCCTTCCCCTCTTCGCCCCCCTGACAGCGTGGCTAGTGGCAATGCGGGTGGCTGCGCGGCGGAGGAGGAGGAGGAGGAGGAGGAGGAGGAGGAGGAGGAGGAGGCGGGCGCAGGCAGGGCCCTGGGGCCCTGGTCCGCCCGTGGCCCACCGCCCGCCCGCGGCTGCGCCGAGCACTGCCGCCCGCGGGCCCCGCAGGGGCCGAGGCGCGGCCGCGCCTCCGCACCACGTGGGGGGCCCAGAAGTGCACACCGCTCGCCACCCCCCTCACCCCCTCCCTCCCCCAGGAGAGGGGAGAGGAGAGGAGGAGGGTCGAGAAGGGAGGATGGGTCGGCGTGGTGGTGGTGCACTCTTCCTGGGGCCTCCGCACCACGCGTGTGCCGCGCGCAGCCGCTGGCCTGCTGGAGGCGGGGCGCCAGGTGGATCGGGGGCGCGCCAACACGGATGAGCGGCCCACGGATCTGGCGCGCGGTCGCCAAGTCCGTGCATCGGGGGAGTTGCCCCGCCCCCGACTGCGGCCGGTGCCGCCTCGCTCGCCGCGGAGATCCACGGCGTCCCATGGGAGCGGGGCCCGTCGCTCATCCACGCCCCCTTGATCCGTGCCTGCGATCGCCTGAGTAGAGCGCGATCCACCCCCTCCACCTCCTCCGCCTGCTCCCCCGCCCCATTTCCTTCAGAGACAGCTCCTCCCTGTCGTGCCCCGAGACGTGTCGGCAGGCCGGGTCGGGCGTTGCGCCCGGGATACCTCCTCACCGTTGTGTGAACCTGGAGACTGAAACCTGCAACAGCTTCACGGATGGAGGGCGGGTCGTTTTCAAAATGTAGCTCTCCCCTCAGCGCCTCGCACATTCGTCTCAAAAGCTTGCAGTCCACGGATGGTGGGCGGGCCGTTTTAATCGTGTGGCTCTCGCCTTTAGCGGCGTGCACATGCGTTCGAAAAGCTTGCAGCAGCTTCACAGCCGGAGGGCGGCTCGTTTTCAAGACGTGGCTCTCGCCTTAGCGCCTCGCACATTCGCCCTGAAAGCTTGCAACAGCTTTACGGATGGAGGGAGGTTCGTTTTCAACATGCAGCTCTCGCCTTCGCGTCTCGCTCATTCGGCTTTAAAGATCTTAAAGGCTTGCAGCAGCTTCACACATTGAGGGCGATTCCTTTTCAAAATGTGGCTCTCGCGTCAGCGCCGCGTGCATGCGCCTTAGAAGTTTTTAGCCGCTTCACGGATTCGTACGGTTGCAATCCCAGGAACGGCGTTCTGGTACGATTTACGATTGTCAGGACGCAACAGTCACGATGCTTCGCTGTTTTAAAGTCCCACGAACGGCGTTCTGGCACGATACAACATTCTCTAAACGCAACTGCAACTTTGTTCCAGTACCACTAACTGTGTTTTGGCACGATGATTGCTTCTCAGATGGTCGTCCTCTACTGGGCCACTTCCCGCAATGAAAATACATTACTGTGGGTACTTGGCGGGGATCTTGGATGTATTGCAACATCGCTGGTGCGCATTGGATGTACACTGGTCCTCCTCTTCCTCCTCCTCCTCCTCCTCCTTCTCCTCTACCTCCTCCTCCTCCTCCTCCTCCTCCTCCTCCTCCTCCTCCTCCTCCTCCCCACGTCCTCCTCCTCTTCCTCCTCCTCCTCCTCCTCATTATCCTCTTCGCCCCCCCTTCCCCTCCGCGCGCTCTCCTCCGCCCCACCTCTTCAGCCCCTGCCGCCGCCGCTGCCGCCGCCGCTGCCTGATTGGCCCCCGCCGCTGTCGCTGCCACTCCTCCTCGGCCCCT